GGGGGCGCTCACGAGGATTTGGTGGGTCTGATCAGGCTTCGGGTCTGGATCTGCTCTGGAATCTCGGGGTCCACAAGGAGGGCTCCTGGGGACAGAGTTTCTACGGTCAGGGTTCTGAACACTGGATAGGCCAAAGCCAAAGCTGACCAGGTGTCAACACAAGGCACAACAGCAACATGACCCAAACCACGCCCCCCACACACACAAAATGACCCAATGCTGCTTCATTCTAAGGAGCCCCGTGGGTGCTGTCGGGGAAGTGTCGGGCTGCTGATGGTGGCAAGGTCAGCCATTCAAAACCACTACCCACGGTGAGGGAGAAAAAACGAGGCTGTGAGCTTCCCAGAAGGACTTCCGGTATTGGAAACCAGATTTAGGGAGGATGGAGAGACTTGGTCTCTTGTACTTTGGACATGACCTGTCCCTGGAGGACGTCGTCATGGTCAAAGCAGAGGGCCAGAGAAAGAGAGGAACACCCTCGGTGAGACGGATGGGACACAGATCAGTGGTGAGGATGGCGCCGGACTGGCGGTGTGTCATTCCTGTTGCCGAGGCAATGTGTCAACATGGCATGGCAGTGGGTTGGGGCTGACCACCCTGCTGCCGACCTAAAGGTGGGCGGTGCAAACACCCCAGCAGACCAACATCCTCAGTCAACTCCTCAAGAGGCAGGACAGACGGTCTCTACACACACCTGCTACAGGTGTGCCCCAGAGGACCCTAACGACACGACATCCACATAGCTTAGCTTGTGCCCACCTGCCATCTGCTCCCCCCGGGGCAGCTGCTGGGACAGTTTTCCTCCTGGTTTTTCTTTTAATGACATTTTCCTTGTGTGTTCGGTGAAGGTTTACACAGCAGCTTAGCAGTTCCCGTTCAGCAGTCATTCATCGGTGTGTTCGGCTGGATTCTCCAGGGAAGCAAAGCTCATACGTATGTCTATACATGCTCATATATGTCTATGTCTGTAGAAAGAGACTTCTATGGAGAAATAATTGCCAAAGCGGCAAGTCCAGTCTGGTTCAAGTCCGTAGGGCAGGCAGCTTCTCCCGCCTTGTGTAGAAGTCAGCTTCCGTCAGGGTTAGTCTTGGAAACCCTCTGGGGCAGTTAGACTCCATGCTATCAGGAAGGGTCACTATGCGTCAACATCCACTCCAGGGCAGTGTTTTTCGGATTGTTTTTGATTGTTTTCGTGTGTCATCTATGAAGCACACCGAAGCCTAGTGAATGAGTTTGAGATATCGTGAGACAGTCACCAATGGGTGACTGAGAGACGTGGAGTGAGCACATGCTATTGGGGAAAACGGGGCTGATGGGCCAGCTTTGGCCACAAACCTTCCATTTCTAAGGAGGAAATTTAAAAAAAAAAATATATATATATATATATTTGGAAGTGCAATAGGGTAAGTGAACTAAAAAGAGGCACCCCTGGCTGTCTTTACTCCGCTGCTGTAGCCCCAAAAAGAGCTGTGGTGGTGCAGAGGGTTAAGCAACTAGCCTCTAAGCATCATGTCAGCCGTTCAGACCTACTAGCCATGCTACAGGAGAAAGGCAAAGCTCTCTGCTTCAATAAAGACCAACAGCCTTGGAAACCCTCTGGGGTAGGTGCGGACACCACAGCCAATGGACCTAACGCAGCCCATGAAGATAATGCTCTACAGCCTGCTGTGGTGTGAAGCAACCGGGGGTCTTCCCAGTTCATGTGCGACCATCTAAGGCGCACCTACCGGTCTCTCTCTGTTCAAACGAAACAAGGGTGTTGAACATCAGAAGTCAGATGGGAACAATTCATGAACCCAGTGGACTCATGGGCACGTGAACATGGGCGTCCACAACCCTGAGACCAGGAGAACTAGATGGTGCCCGGCGCCCACAGCCAACTGCTCTGCTAGGGAATCACATTAGAAGGTCCTGGACAGAGTGGAAGAAAAATGTAGAACATAAGTCAAAACCATCAAACTGGGCAGATAGAGAAGGGTGGAATCCCCAAAGACTGTGGTCCTTAGTCACCCTTCAGGGATTCTACACACCCCTGTGTTAGAATAAGCAACTGCTTAAGATTTAGAAGGGTAGCACAGTGGTTCTCTGTTGAGCTGCAAACTGGAAGGCCAGTCGTTTGAAAACACCAGCTGCCTCATGGGAGAAAGATGAAGTGTGTGCTCCCATCAAGGGTTACAGCCTTGGAAACCCACGGGACTGACCCAGTGGCTGCAATGAAGGAGAATGATGAGGCTGTCAGCTCCAGGAA